AATAATTTTAAAAAACTTTTATAATAAAAGTTATAAAATATGTTTTCAAGAATATATTCTATAATAAATATATACCCTATATCATTAATAAATTATTATTTTATTTAAAAAATATTAAATACAATTAAATTTTCTAGGCAAATTTGCCTGGAATACAGTTTAAAAGATAATACTATAAATTAAATCTCTTTTTTTATACAAATTTGGTATATAAGAATTAATATCATTATTTTAAATTAATGAATTTATTATCATTATATAATTCTTTTTATCTGATACTATATTATTCATATCAATTAATTTAAAAGAACTTTAATGTTTTAAATTTTAACTTGTTGATTGAATAAGAAACATTAGTGAAAATTTAATTAAAATGGTACAAATAACATAGTGGTATTAAAAAAAAATTTCTAACTATAATAACAGTAAGTATTTTACTAATATTGCAATTTATTATTATTATATATAAAGTTAGTACAACTTTATAAAATTTTTTGGAGGCAGTTTTACTCAGTTGATATCTGAGTTATTTGAATTCAAACATTGTTTAAATAATCTTGGATCAGAAGAAGGATAAGCATGTAAATATTTCAAAAATATGACTTAAATAATTAATATAATAAACCTAAATTGGATTAAAAGGAAAAGACTTAGCAGATGTGTTTTAATAAAACAATACCATAAAAAATTTAAATCTTCAAAATAATGATTTTGGATTAGGAGGAGAAAAAACATTAGCATGTGTACTTTACAAAAATGCTATACAAAGAATTTGAGTTATTAGTATAATGAATTTGGATTTGAAGAAGGAAAAACATTAGCAGAAATAACAATACTTAATCATCGAGGTAATAATTGTGAACTGGATGAAGAAAAATATTAACAAAGCAATTTTGTATAAACATCGATCCGCAATCTGACTAATTCAGATAGATCTGTTAATTTTGACCAGATAGATCTGAAATATTTCTGGGACACCTGATAAAAATTTGTCAAATGATTTTCAACTGATTCAATTAAGGGTAGAGGATACTGTAGATCATTTTTCATATGATATACATGGCAAATTAATATCTTATATAGATATAAGAATATGCTACTGATAAAAATTTTTGAAAATTCAATTAATTTTTATTAAAATTTTAGAATTTCATAGATTAAAACATGCTCTTTCTAATGGTATAAATTTTAATAACTGAATTATTTTAATAAAACATACTTGTATATATCATGAAGTTGCTGCAATGACCTCAAATTTGCTGGGTTACACAAAATCGTTAATTTTGATTAGTTATATCATATGATTATCATATGATGTTTATAAACAAAAAATCAATACTCTATCTTTAAATGCATATTTCTTAGTAAATAGCTAACCAATTTTAATAATATTACTACCATTAGAATCAGAAGAATCTATTCTACAAATTTTGTTATAAATTTTAAAATAACTTACTTAATAAAATTTTCTTTAATTACAAAAAGAAAAAATTTTTGCCATCATGATTATATAAAAATTGATTTACGTATCCTCTACCCTTAAGTTAGGCCACTTCAAATTAATTCTTCGTTTAACATAACATTAAATAGTTCATAGGAGTGGGTATAAAAAATACACAAATTAAAAAAAAATACAGCAATTCTATTGGCTGTAAAAAATATGAATATATAAAGGCTAATACTGCGTTTTGATTGGTTAATGTGATATGTATTTTTTCATAAAATTTTGAAAAGTAGGGGGGGATTATGCTAAACGAAGAATTAAATTGGTCCGGCCTTATTGATTTCGACAATGATCGGTGTATATTTTTACATGTAAGATAATTTTATCATTATAAGGTAGATGTGCACTAAAATCAGGAACGTAGAAACGATATTTATAATTATATATACTAATTCTTACATTATATCATAAAGCTTTTGATTAGATTTAATATTACGACTTACAGTATATTACATTATAGTTTGTGATACATATTTTGTTTTGTCATCGGGTTGCAATTGGCCAATCACATCATGGGATCAGGGTAACGTTTGTATAACCCGAAAAACGAACTCAAATTTCACCATCTTTCATGTTCTAATTAAAAAAATTTTTCGCCAAATTTTACTACACGTGATGCATTGCTCTAACACTAACTCAACTCTAACCCTGACCCTATCAATAATTAACCTTTCGTGGCTGGTCAGTTGCAATCCGGTGACCATCACTGCAATGACGACTAGATTATTTTTGTTTTTAATAAAAAATTTTATACAAACTTAACTTATTTAACTCCTAAGACATACATTACACGACTATTTTGTATTAGATATTGATATCGTGATCTAGAGACATAAATTTATGTGACTTAGTGCGATTTGAATCAATTATTTTTATATTGGTCAGGATTGCGATAAATCAAATTACAAACTTATGTTCTTACAATAACATTCTTCAAAAAATTTAAATCAAAATTTATTGTTGTTATCAGAAAAAATTTTGAATTTTTAGAACTAAATTTTACCTTTAGTACAGTGGTCACAAGAAAATCCGGAAATAATTGATCACGACATAAACATTCTATAAATCGAGAATGGCTGATGATTCTGTATTGATGGGTCGGTCTTCGTAAAGACCGGGACTAGACCGTAACGGACAGAGGAACGGATGATTTTTGGTCCTCAGTCCTTAACGGTCCGGTCCGCCTTGGTTCAAACTATAACCCTACCATTATGAAATACTGTACAGTACAGTCAACTCTCTCTAAATGCAAGTCAATGGGCCAGAAAATATCTTACATTTAGAGAGAATTTGTAATTAAAGAAAAACCAAATTAATAATTAATTCTCAATAAGTTAAACAAAAATATCTTGCATTCAAGTAACTAGGTCGTCTTAGGAACATCCAATGATATCGGAAGCCAAATCTTCTGTGAGTTGAAGATCTCTGGTTGAGGAAAATCCTAGGATAGGCAATTATACATAAGTGAACCGTCCCTTCAGTGTGACCAGCATAGCTATATAAGGGTTTACTCCGATAATAAGTCAATAAAGTTGTGATTGAAGGCAAGATTGCCGGATTAAAAAAAAAAAAGTAATTAAACCAATCATTTTAATTGGTTAAAATATTTTGCATTTAGAGAGAATAAATTTATATTTGCTAAAAAAAAAACCTTGAATTTATAAAATAAAGAATTTGTATTTATTTTTTACTAATAAAAAAAAAATAATTGGGTTGAAAAATTTGGGTTGACAGGTAATGCAAATGAAAAATTAACAGTGTGTGGAACGATAATTATTTATTTTTTTACATTTTAAAATTGACAAAACAACTAGTAATTATAAATTACTAACAAAACGTTATTTGTGAAGGGAAAACGTCATATAATCATGTAAATAATCTTTTTTTACATGTCGCATATAATTAGTCTCTGTTTTCAATTCGTTCGCTGCTCTTATTCATTTTTAAGCCTCAATTTTACTTGTAGCTTTTTCAATACACATCTCCTGATTATTAGCTTTAGAACGCCTTGATCCATAAAGGAAGTATATTACTAATCCAATTGCCATCCAAATAAACAATCTCGCAATAGTTGGAACTGATGCTGTTGCTATTAATAATAAACTTAATGCAGCACCTAAAAATGGAATCAGAAATGGACCACCTGGTACTTTGAATTTTCTAGGAGCATCTGGGGCTGTAAATCTTAATATTGTAACGCCTATGTTTACTAGGAAGAAAGCCAATAGTGTGCCGACAGACATTAATTCAGCAAGTACATCAATCGGGAGCAATGCTGCTGCTATAGCAGCAATTGTGCCAGTAATTATAGTTGTTATGTATGGTGTACCAAATCTAGGATGAATTTTTGCACAAAACTTGGGTAATAATCCATCACTACACATAATAATCAATAAAAATATATTAATGTATGTTCTGATAGTCCAAATAAATTTGATTAAAAAATGAGATTAAAATAATTACTTTGCCATTGACATAGAAATGCGAGTCTGCCCCAGCAATTGTACGAGAATAACTGATGTTAAACCAATTACCGCACCAATATCTACAATAATTCCTAACCATCTCATCCCTAATGCATTAACAGCTACAGATATTGGCGCAGGATTATCAAGTTGTGTGTATGAGACTACACCTGTCAACACGACACTTAAAAAAAAATAAATAAGTTAATAATATTATTCAAAACACCTAGATAACTTTTGCCATTACTAGGAACTATACTACAACTGCATGAACTTGTTACTTTGGGGTTTTAACAGTTATTAGATCAACCGGAATAATTTTACGATCATCCGATCACCCACAAAAAATATGTAAGGCTCTTTAACCTCTGGCACACAGCAATAATTTAGGTCCAGAAAACGACAAAGTTATCAAGAATAAAACGTATCAATAATAAAATGTAAGGAAACTTACCATACAGCGATGTAAATAAAAGTGACAATAGTGAAACTACCCATAATTGAAATTGGTAAATCCTTTTGCGGATTTTTGGATTCTTGTGAAATAGTCGAAATCGAATCAAATCCAATATACGCAAAGAACACAACAGTAGCCCCTGCCAATACACCAGTGACCTAAATTTTTAATATAATTATTAAATGCCATTAATTAAAAATTTTTAATACGTAATTTAAATTGAAGTTAATGTTAAAAAAAAAAACATACACCAAAACTCGAAAATGATCCTTTATTTGGTGGAATAAATGGATGAAAGTTTTCAGTGTTGACACGAGTTCCAGCGGCAATAATAAAACAAAAGATAACTATAAGTTTTACAGTGACAACAAATGCAGCAAATCTGGCAGATTCTTTGATTCCTATAAGGAGTAGCACTGTCAAGAAAATTACGATGGCAAAGGCAGGAACATTGAAATAGGCACCAGGAACAGTTTCAAAAGTGCTGGTTGTACTATTGAATATAAACGGTGATTCGGTCCATGCTGATGAAAATTCAATACCAAAAGCATGATAAAAGAAAAACGTAAAGTAGCCGGACCACCCTTTTTAAATAATTGTAGAAATGAAAGCTTTAATATATTTACATAATATATATAATACTAATACTAATCGAACGTGATAAAATCAGTATAGGTTCATCTAATTGAAATAAAGTTAATTGCTGCCAAATGTGCTGAATGTGTAAAATATTGGCAAAACTTATTCTTCAATTAGGATGAACAGGTACTGAATTTTCATTTTGGCTAGAGTGATACATACCGACAGCTACTGCGGAAGAACCCACTAAATATTCCAAGGTTAAATCCCAACCAATAATCCAGGCTATTAATTCACCCAATGTTGCGTACGTATAAGTATATGATGAACCTGCAATAGGGATCATCGAGGCTAGTTCAGAATAAGAAAACGCAGCAAAACTAGCAGTAAGTCCAGCCAATAAAATAGATATGATGACACCCGGGCCCGCCCTGGTCGCGGCAGCTTGGCCTAATTATGCAAAATTTAAGTTTTTATATAATCTGGAATTTTCTGAAAAGTTAATCTCAAGGCTTACCTGCTAAGACAAATATGCCATTTCCAATTATACCGCCGATGCCAATCATAATTAAGTCAAAGATATTTAAAGATCTTTTGAGCTTAGAAGTTTGATGTTCCTCATCCAGACTTTTCAATGATTTTACAGTAAATAATCTTCGTAGACGGTATCTCCACACACTTTCATCTTGTTGTCTTGGAGCCCCTGAAGTTACAAATTTGTAACTTGACATAGTACTTTGCACGTCCGTCATCTTTAACAATTTTAGCTTTATAATAAAGAAATTTTCATTTGCATACAGGACGACAGCAGTAGTATTAGTTTCGATACTATCTAATGGTTAGATTAATTGATAAAAAGGAACGAAACGTAAAAAAAAAAATATATAAGGGATGCGGACATTTCATGCTATATATATCTTTGAATGAGTAACCGCATATAAATTAATATTTTCTTTCACATGATTTCAATTTATCTTTCGCAATGAATCAGGCTAATCTTTCTTTGATTGTCATTAAAAAGAGTTCATACTAATAATATAATATAATATAAAATCGTATATTCTTCTCGCTATCTACATTTATGTAATACATAGTTGCCACTCTTGGAAATCAATATTGATATGCTCGATAATAAAATTTAGGAAATATCGACGTACCGGTACGTACGTACCACACCGATTTTGGTATGTTTAACGTTAAGCCGATATGAAAGCAATTTGTACTGTGTAATGATCTGCTGTAATATCGTTTTGCATGAATTCTCACGTATGTACGTACGTACGTACGTACGTACGTATATTAAATAAGAATATTTATACTTATTCCACCTATTTCTCAATCATCAATGAAATAAGGAATAATTAAAACAACGAAAGTACTTTAAGCTCATTGTTGGACAGTTAGGACAGATTTGGGACAAAATTGAAGTTTTACGTAAAAAAACAATTTTATTAATATTCAGTTCTAAAATAAGAAATGGATAAAGTTTAAATTTACATATATTTTATTAATTTTTTGATATTACTTTTCAAGCTAAACATTGAGAACATCCCGGGATGGAACGGGACAGGACAAGGCCAAAAAAGCTTGGGACAGTCAATGTATAACACTGCTCTAGCTAATCATGGTTTATCGAGAGCCAGCTGACTAGTATAACGAACCTAACTAACCATAGTTCATAACGAAAATAAGCAGTACCTTAAGATGGGAAAGGCTCCGAGATATCATTTTTAGGTTTTTAGAGGAAAAATTTCCCAGGGAGTATCATTTATTAGACCTTAAAAGGAAATTTGATAGGTTAAAGTTTTACAATAAAACTTATGATAACGGTGTGTAACGAACATGAACATCGAGCTCTGAGATTACAAGTCTTTTGAGAAGATTTACGTCGACGGCAATATTATACTGGTAAGGGATGTTTAGAAACTTATGATTCAAATAATTAAGTGAGAATTTATTAATCTGAAATTGATCAGTAAACCAATTCATTAAAATTTGGTATAATTCTACATCATAGATTCTTTTAATTGTATCCAAGTAAAAAGTACGTACGGCAAACTCTATTTAAAATGCATGCCGAGTTATCAACTCGCAAAGGCACGTCCACTCAGCCATTCGCTTTTTTAGTTGAATTGAAATTTTATGACAAATAAAAACTTAAAAGCGGTAACATGCAAGTAGTACGTAATAGGAACCAACTGATATATATTATACGTAGTATGTAAAATAAATCAATTTCCTATATGTTAATAACCTCAAACATGAAATGTCGTACATAACAATACAGCAATCACCAATCAAAATTGGACGCGCGCTCAATAAACGCACAAATACGTACGTATTCTGTGTCGCGTCTAAAGTCGCATATAACCATGCAAATATTAGTCAATTAATGTTGTTCTCAAGTGCCTCCCTATAATGGTCGATAAATGATCCGATCGACTAAAAAAGTAGTGTTTCAATCCATTATCCGCTTATCTATTTATCTATCAGATATCCGAATCTGAATTTATTCGGATATCCGTTTTACTATTAATATCCGGATAATTATCTGATTGATTACCCTTCGGATTATCCGGATATCTGGGCGATTTGGATTATCCGGATAATTGGATACGGATAACGGATGACGGATTTATCCGGATTGAAACTCTATAAAAAAGTAGTTCATGTATAATCGTTTCGGTCAAAAAAGTTATCTCAATTGTGCATAATTTCGTTTGAGTCACGAGGTAGACGTTAGGATCATTGCAGTATACATGACACCTATATTGCAAGTAGAAATTGATCCTATACCCTAGCGTTGTTTTTTAATGGGTTTACCTACATGTAAGTCTTACCCCTGTAAAAATTTTTCCGTTATTTCTTGTGAAAACTCCGTGAATCTGACAAAATCTAGACAAGCCGAATAATCCGGTTCCGATCAATTCACCGACACCGAACGCTCATTTAGCCGACATCACATAGGGTTAGGGTTAAGCATTGATTAGTTGCAAGTATATATTTTTACTAAATCTCACCTGGCGTGATGTCGGCAAAATGAGCTGTCGGTGAAGTAATTGTCGGTGATAATACGGACCCGAATAATCTCCATGATTTAAGAAATTCCGTGAGTATGCACATTTATGGACAAAACACGGAATATAAACACGGATCGACTTTTTTTTATAGTGTACGCAGAGATCCTTAATAAGATTACTGTAAGAAAGGATATGGTGTGAGTCAATAGAAATCAAGCAAATTTTAAATAATAAAGATTTTTTATAACTTTGAACAATAACTTTACAAAAACTTAACCAAATTTAATAATTTTTTTTTACTAATTTGTATAATTAATTTAAAAAAAATTATATCAAATTTAGTTAAGTTTTTGTTAAGTTATCCTTGTTTAAAATTAAAAAAAAAGTATTAAAAAAAATTTACTTGGTTTCTATTGACTCAACGCCATATACTGAAATCCCAACTAAATCAGCAAGTATTCTTCTTGCGGGAATTTGAGCTACAATGTTAAAAAGAAAAGAAAAATACGTATAATAAATTTGCGAATCCCACGCCAAGAATTCAATATGCATTCATAATTTACTAAAATCACAAAAATAGATGTCAGCATTTAAAATAGCCATATCGGCGGATTTATGATCAGATGATCAACATAACTGCCATTACTGCATTAGATAATTTAACGTTAACTTGTGATAAAATAAGAAAATATCGAATTTGGTTTCGTGATACAGCATTTGCCAAGCCTTTTTTTTTTCTGATAAACAGTTACACAAATGTTCGCTATTAAGTGATGTTTAAAAAAAACAAACGAAACACTTAACACAAGAGATTATCTAGCTCTATACAAGATGAATAAGAAAATAAACATCTGTTATAAGTTGTAAAAAAAGAAGGCACTATCACTATTTGTTGAAAGGTTCGAGTATTTTCGGGTAGTGAACGATCGGTTTGTCATTGTGAACGATCGGTTGAATAATGAGTAAGGATAAATCGGATGCAAGTTTTCGGAAAAATGACCTTTTTAACTTACTTTCAACTTATAATTAAATACGTAGATATTATAATATTTATATAATTAATTATGAATCTAAAGTAAGTTTAAAAGACCGTTTCATGAAAACTCACTTTGTAAACGGGTCAAACCAAATCGACCGATATGTTGATATTTTAAAAATCTTACAAAATTACTGAAAGAGGAATTTTTTTATTTTTATTTTTAACAAAGTTATAACGGTAATACGTAGCTATTTTATATATAATTATTATTTTATTTGGATCAATCAAAATTAAACTATTATAATTCTAAATTTAGCGCTACTTTGTAAAAGCTAATGCTTTACGTATACGTACTGTCCTTATCTTTATTTGGCGCTTTTTTAATAGTACGTAAAAATAAAAAGGTGATTTCTTTAGCTGTCCCGCACTGTAGATACCAGAAATAACGAATTTCGGCAGATTTGCAAAATTGTTCTTTTTTAGAACCTTAAATCTATTGAAAATACGAAGGTTTTACCGTGATTGTTTAAAATATTTAGTTAAATTTAATGCAATGTAACAAGCCAGCGACATTTACAGAATTAGTTAAAGTTAACAAACCAGTGAAATTCACGGACTTAGTTAAATTTGGAAACTTAATGCCGACATAGTAATATTATTAATAGACTTGATTATCGCACTAAATCTAAGAAAAAGCAAGTTTAACTTTATTATGGGCGTTTTGTTATCGTTATGCGTCATTTCTCAATTTATGTCGCAAGTCATTTTTCAATTTGAAAATTGCATACAGTATGTCGTTTTCCATCGATATAAAAATTTATAATAATTATTATGAAACCTGTGTTTGCTTAAGCTACGTTATTGATGCAGATCTATATTAAATTAAGGTTTAGTTAGGATTAGTTACTATTTTGAGATTGTTTTGATAGTGATCTGCGTCAATAACGTAACCTAAAAACTCAGGTTTCACCCTAAAAACTGTTTAGCCGATTGATTTTTCGGCATACCGTATTGTCGCGAAATAACGTGCAGGGGTGAAATTACGAATTTCGGCCTAAATTAAGCCTACAGCTGTTTTCATAATTTCTGAAGCACCTGATAAAAAACTTGCCGAATAATTTTCGGCCGTTCCGGTTAAGTTATTATTTCAATAAAATTACAAATTATATGTACTGTACGTTAGGGTGTTCAAAATATTAGTAAATCAAACATTAATTAGGGTTGCATATTGTGATACCGAAATATCGTGACCGATCACGTGAAAAATGCACGAAATGCAATAAGTGCAACAAGTTACATTTGTGATCGGAAACGGAATTTCGGATCCAGAGGGGTAGATAAGGGATAAAGGAAGGATGTACGCACAAATTAGACATCCTTACAAAAATGAAATATATAATTGTAAATAGCATTAAATAGTTTTAAGGAATAATAAGTGTAAAGTCGCATTAGTGAGCGACGAATTTAGTATTATAAATAAAGGCCGAAATGGCCCTTAAGAGAGATATGTCTCGTTTGCTTTATTAAATAACAAGTCCCAATTCTATAAACTGCACAAAAGTACACTGTCCTTACCCCGATTATAACCCTATAAACCCTAGAGACATCGTTGTCCACTCAAGTTCTTGCTCACGTGACTTACCCTGCTTGTCTTCGTTGACCCTAAGTAACCGAACGCCTTAATCACCCACCAGCCAAATCTAACACGCCTCTTCCGTAAGGTTACCTATCGTTGGTTACGCGAGATTTTGGATTGTGGAGCAACCGAGTCGCAGTTTTCCGAACCCAACATTGGGTAAAGGTTTTACGAGTCATAATGTTATATTATTGCGAATCCATAAGTGTTGAAAAAAATATGTAATAAAAGTGATAAAAATCGATTCAGATATAATGAATAAAAAAAAAAAATGCGACGATAAAAGAATTATGTAAAAATCAATGTAAAAATCAATGTAAGTATTAAATATTAATGCAATTATTAACGTTAATATGTAATTATTATTAAAATCGACCTGGGACGATCAGTGAAAATCGAGAAATAACACGTGCCAATTCCGGATCGACTTAAATCCCGTCGCGGAACATAAATACAAAAAAATTTATGTGCATAATCATCGTCCCTGGTTTAGTTGTAGAATGTTATACTTCATATATTACGAGAAAAGGAAATCAATCTTCAGATGTATTATCGGTAGTAAAACTTCTATTTAAAAGGAATTATTCTTATTGAAAAAAAATTTTTCAATAAAGTTTTCATTAAAAGGATTAATTTCATCAAAAAAATTTTCTTTGAATAAGTTATTAATATATCATTTTATTGATGGGTAATAGACAATATTGTGCTTCGGGCTTTTAATTGATGACATCACAGACTCAACCTATTAAATTATTCGGAATTGGTCCCGATATTAAAAGTTTAAAAGCCCGATGTCTAGTTTTCTTTAATATACGTTTGTACACTAACACAATATGTTACTTTATACGCAGTTGTGTAATTTAATATATTATACACCAATTTAATATATTATACACCAATTTAATATATTATACACCACTACTATTCGTATTACTCTACGCTACTATTCTGATGTTTCCTATACTACTTTATATATTACTCTAGGTTCAACCACTAAGAATACATAATACTATGAAGGAAAGATTAACATGGCTATGGCGATACAATTATGGAAGGTATGTGACATCTTAATGAATTGGACGGAAGTGAGAGACATAGAGAAAAATTATTCGTTACAATAGTAGAAGGTAAAATATATTGTGCTGCTTAATTCGTAAAGTTCAACGTTGTTTGTTCTTTTTTTATTATCTATTATCAAAGGCAAAAATATCGTGAGTGTAAAGGGGATGCTCTTTTCGAGGCGTGAACGATTTGGCGAATGCGTATTTACTTTTTTTTTCTTTTTTTTTATGTATTTTGTGTTTTACTTGAAGACTAATCCTACTCCTAATCACGATTTTTCAACTTAAAACTAACTACCACTACTCAATTAGTACTAAGGCGTTTGATCTTTCTATTATTTTATTGGGGCCAAGAAAGATAAGTTTATTCAATAATTTGGTATATATTTTGTAACTGCTAACTAACTTGTCTATTTTTAAATTCCTTCCTATTATTTTTTTCCACCATTGTTCCCTCTATCGATTGTTTATAAGCCACTATCGGATAAGTATTTTATCTCCCTTATTCCATTTACTTATTTTGGCTCCATCCGCATTACTAACATAATTTGTTCTTTTTTTTTGGTTTTGGTTTTCCCACGTCTTCTGTCACTCGATTGTTTTCCATGGCGCCATTCTGAAACCTTATCGTGGGTGCTTCGATTTATTCTCGTTTTGCCCTGTCAATTTCTTGTTCGGTCGTGGGGCAAATGCATACGTGCATGCAAACAGGTTTTGAGGTACGATCGTCGAGTACGACACCGTCGATCGCGTTTTGGTTACTGCGCATTTCCACCCATGACACGATTATTATTTTACTATAAACTTTACAGGTTGTTGTATATTCTTTAGAGGATTTTTAATTCAATAGAAGTCGGTTATTTATACAATAATATAGTTTTGTTAATTATGTAAAAGATTAAGAATATTAATAAAGAACGCGTAACTTCTTATTAAAACTTTTCCAATAATGTTTCTATACTTGTAAATTGTTATTATGAGCTGGGTGAATAGTTTTATTTTTCTAAAATACGACATATCTTACTTAGAAGTAAAACTATAGGAGAAATAATATGTCAATTACATTTATCTGTTATACATGTGCTGATAATATGGTTTCTGATTGGTTGACTGCCGATAAAAAAATCCCATGCTTTCCGAAAAATGAGAAAGTCTTCCATGTCGACTATGAAACTATTTCGACATTGCCGAATATATTTCGGCGTTAATTTTTGGTATGAAATTCCTGAGTTATTTCTGAAATAACTTAGACATTTCATATCAAAAATCAATACTGAAATATTTTTAGCAATGCCGAAATAATTTCTACGCCATGTATATTGCCGACTATCTAATTATCCAATTTGAGTGATTTTTTTTTTATTTGTGTTTATTCAACTAGATGATGGAAAATTTAATTTTTATTCACAAAATCAACATAACCTCGGAGTGTCATTTGGTCCCATGTGACACAAAAATCCTCCTAATATTTGTTTTTACATATAACTATATAAATTTGATTTACATAGTGCGTCACATACTAAAGAAAGAACGAGTAACATTACTCATATTTTATCTTGACTAAAGAAGTATTAATTAAACAATAATAATAAAGTATTTGTTTTCTAAGTCCGTCAAGAGTATTATTATTTGATTTTTTCGCACGATGAATATTAACGTTCGTTTGAGTAGAGAACCCGAACATATGCAGCCACATAATACAGTAATAGGCGTATAAAATGCGATTGGTTTTTATCAGATTCATATGATTTGTGCGTCATTTATGTGATAACTAGGGCCAATTAAAGCTCTTGACTATGTCATGAGTCTCTTAGTGCAAAATCACGCCATTTAGTGACTAATTACTATCGTTAATATCGATTTTACTTATTGGGGGAATTAGGTGAGCAAACACTTCTACTAAGGACTTAGGAAATTTGAACTCTAAGATTTGGATTTTATTAAAGCGAAAAGATGAGACTCACATACCTTTATATTATTAGTGACATACAATGGGTTTATTCGCCAAAACCCATTCATTTCTTTAGCTATAGTCGATAAATTTTCATGGCGAACGTATCGAATATATCCGCTACGTATATACATATTCAACATACGTACGTACGTATCAAATTTTGCCATTTACCCATCTACGGTAATTATTTCCTTTTAACTCCTATTTTTAGTTCAATACGAATGTTTATGTTGAGCTTACTATAAGGGGTAATATTGCAGCAAATAAAGGAAAATAAAGAAGATCGGAGTACTTTAAGTTTTAAATAAATTAGTATTAGTCGGACAATAGATTTACATCAACCACGTTGCATGATATGGCAATATTTTCATGTCAATTTACATAGTGCAGGTCATATAGTAAATTCTCATAATACATTTTTTTTTATAGATCGACAAATGTTATAGTAAAAACAAATCAAAACTGTAATAACTCCTTAACCAGAAAAACCACATAAATAAATAAAATTCCATTCGTCAAGTTCATTTTAACATGCTCTTTAAAGTAATTTTTATTGTCTAGAGTGTGACGGAAGACTCTCGTTTCTATGCAAAATACTCGTTTTGATGCATTTAAATACAAATATCAAACATAACAGAAATTTCTGTTGGCCCGCTGCATGTTGTGTAACACAACTTTCTTATAGCGGTTTTAGGTTTTAACTAGTTAAGATAAAAAAAATATCGGATATTTGATAAGAAACCAAAAAAAAGAGCGTTATTACTTTAAAAAGCCTGTAAAATAAACCCAACAAGTATAATTTTATTTGTGTGGGTTTACTAGTTCAAGAGTTATTGCGGCTTGAATTTTATTATATATTTTACTTATCACTTCGTTGGTCTATAAAAAAAAATATATATTATGAGAATGTTTGTAAATTGACCGATATGATACACCCCAATCGGTGTCGCATAAGTGATTGAAGAATGACATAATGAATGAATTGCTATAAACAGTTAACCAATTAATCGATAAAAAATACTGCAGCATCTTTTGTCTAGATATAATGTCTGAAACACGAGCAACCTTTTTTGGTTGAAGCAATTTTCGGACCAATAACATATTGATGTGATACATTCATGTGAGTGGCGTCAAAGAATAAACTAAAAGCTTTGTCTAAAATTTCTAGATACATTATTACTCGATCAACCGATTACAGTAACTATAATTTACTCTAGGATGATATCCAACATATTGATTTCGGTTTTTCAGGTATGAGTTATATTGATTGATATGTTCGGTATTTCATCCTTGTTAATTGTAATATACTGTACAGTTCCGAAAATAAAAAACTCTGAAAATAAGCCACACTTTAATTTTAAATATTAAAATACTAAAAAAATAAAATGAGCTGCCTTTTTAAAATTGCCAAGCACTGAATAATAGAATCTATTATAAATTTTTTTAATTCAAATTTATTACGAAAGAATTATTTAATAATAATTAATTAACAAAAACCAATCTCGGTTTTTGTTAATTAGCTAAGATTATTTAAAAATTAAGTAAAAATTGAATTTAATTAACAGAAATGTAATAAAATAATTCTTGGTTATTAATTAAAACCAACTCAGAATTTATTATTTAACCACAAGTTTGTAATACGGCTTTGATTTTCTTATTTTTATCCGGATTATCTTGGTAGCATAACCATGACCAATTAAGAAGCGCTTATACAGGTCACCCGAGTAAGGGGCTAGAATCGGATCGAACAAATAGAATTTTAAAATCAAAAAATTGTTAAAATTGGCTAATGAACTCAAGCTATACATTAAATAAAATATTATTAAGTTTTTTAAGGATTTAATTTATCTAAATTATGTTAGCACTAAAAGCTTCTAGAACTGATAAATTTTCTATACGCATTGATTTAAAGTAAATTTCCAATACTATATATTTGCTAGACAATCTATTAATCTAATTAATTATGTAATCACTTTAAGCTTAAATAGATTACGTAGAATATGTTATCATATTACTTTTTAACTGTATATAGTTAATAATATTTTTTAATTAATTATAATTTTATATTATCATTATAAGCATTGGAAGCGGAATAGCAACTCCCAGAAAATTATTTAAAAGATTACAATTTCGCATTGATGGCATTTATATTTTTCTGTTTAAATAACCATTAACATCTTCAAACATTGGTATTTCTTATACAGTAATAACCAACATCTTTGCGCATTTTAATTTCTTTTAACGCATATCTTCAAACATTTTATTGATACTTTAAATCGTCATAATGGAAACAGAGGTAATATTTCTATTAGGCATTTTTAAATTTAAATTTGGCCTGCTAATATGAGCATTTAATCAGATTGCCGTTAACATTAAAATTATTAACTAGAATTAATGTTTTTTTGCTACAGTCTGAAGCTAAAAAAAGCGATAATAAAAGTATTAATAAAGTAACTCCTAGAAAGAGAAGTATAACCAAAGTAAAATTTTATTATTATATCTTGGTTTTCATAACATGAAACTTTTAAGCAGACCTGGCCGGGTTATAAAATCAATGAATTAATTTTGCATGACCTTATATTAAATTTTCTTTTAAAAATTTTTGGTTTATTTAGGTTTCATTTGATGCACTTTCTAAAAAGTTGAAAACTTTAGACTCTGAATTAGCCCGTTACAATATCGTTTTCTTAACCGAAAAAAGAAAAAATGAGGTTGTTAAGAAAACTTTTACAAAGGAATGGACAGATTTGCAAGAAACATGGTTGCTGGTGAGTATTTCAGTCATACAATAATTTTTTCTATTATTTGTTTTAATATTGTTCTATATTTTAGTATGAAACCAGATCAAAAGTTGAAACGTATTCTGACAATGCTATAGATAACTTGCTTAATAATTATAATAAGGCGATTGTAGACAATAAAGACAATATACTCAATGCAATGCCTGTAATTAGCGAATCTACAATAACTGCTAACAATTTAGAGCTAAAAAATACTTGGAATTTACATTGGATTCAGTCCATATATAAAATATTGTAAGATTTTTTTATAATAAAATTTTCTATATAAAATTAAAAAAATGCTTAAATTATATTAATTATTCTTTATTAACTATTTATAGTATAATGTTCTTTCTACGCACCTATAATCCATTAATGCATCCAGATTTTAATGAATATTCATACCGAAGTAGACTAATTGATCGCTTATTAAGTGATGTATTTTTAGATTTAATAATTATACGGGTTATAACGTAGGTTAAATTATCTTATAATTGTTTAGATTAAAGTATAGAATACCATTTATATAATAATCTAATAGATGCTATTAAGAAATTAACATCACCAATTAGCCCTTGACTACTTATTACAACCAAGGTAAAATCGCTACCCAAAAAAGTTTCATAACCAATCATATCTCAAGATCAGGTGTAACATAATACAATCAAGAAAATTCAAACCAAATGTTCGTTTTGTCAAAAATCGTCCATAACCCAAAATTTAATCTATGAAACTGCCTTCTGTGTACTATAAGGGTGTTTTTAAACATTGATCTAATAGAAAAATTCCAACTCTAACTTTAAAAAATGAAACTTGAAACTTTTTTGGATGGCAGCAATTTTTCCCCGGTTTACTTATTACTATACCTGTATTACCTTGAAATAATGCACTGGGATTTAGATTAAAATTTTGGCCGAATTAAGCTTAATTTGGCCAAAATTTTAACCTACACTCTGGGTGTTATTTGAGGCAATATGATATATTGTCTAATATATGCCTTATCATTGTTAAATATTAATATTACCACCTTTATTTTCTTTTTACTAGCGGAGAAGTAGAAAATAAAGATAGAACAGAGCAGAAACAAAATAGCACAGTAATTGAAGGACAAAATAGTGGATGGAAACATGATTTTGTCTATAGTTTCAAATTACAAAGTAAAGTATGCCAAGTGGGATTTGGCGAGGTTGTTGGCGATGCTTTTTTAAAAGATAAGAAGAAGAGAAGAAATGATCTTTACAAAATTCTTAAGGGTAATTTACTGAATATTTACTATATATGGTATAAAATAATAAATTAAATATTAACAATATACGTATTATTAATAGCTATGCAACTTAGTCTATTCAAGTTACGAAAATATTTAATTACAAGGAATGTTGATAATGAAATAGTTAGTAAGGCAGAAACTTATGGGGTCCTAGTCTATCATAAGAATTTTTATTATAATTTTTTCTTTATATATTGGTCTTATTTCTTATTTAACCTATTATTTTGATAGGCAAAAAAATCAAATTTTATGTAATGCATTTTCATAAGAATGTTTATTTAGTCGATAAAATTGAATCATTTGCTATACCTGATGAAACAAATGATTTAACATCACTATCATATATCATAAATCGCATTCTAAGTCTAAAGGTAATTATCAGATTTATAAGGCTAGTTATTTATTATTTTAATAATATTAATTAATTTTAAAAATATTTAAGAAACGGATGTTGAATCAGGCAGCTCTTCTTTTGGACAATTTAAAACCTAATGCTCGTCGCATTGGACCAAGAGTTACTATTGAAAATGTTGATACATCATTTCATTAACAAATATTTTATATATAATATATATAACATATATATTTACTGTATATAATCATTTTATTTCTATCATTATATATATTTTTATATCTATATATTTTTTTTATTATATATATTTTTTTTAAAATTTATTAGTTATTTAGTTTTATATATATAAATTTATATTGTCTTTTTTAATGCTATTAGATTTTTAATAAAATTAAAAAAAAAAAAAATTTATTCATCATAATTCTGACAAAAAAAAATCTTGACAGATAGCTAAAAATTTGACAATTAAAAATCCTAATAAAAAATATAAACTATAGCTGGCCCTTCTCTTATATAAAATGATCTAAAGCTATATACAAACTTAATAAATCAGTTCTTACAACTAGCTGGATCAAATTTTACCAAACTTTACAGCTGTTTTCATAATTTCTGAAACACCTGATAAAATTTGCCGAATGGTTTTTTGGCTGATCCGGTTAAGTTATTGATTTCGGCATGATTGATACATAACGATAAATTACAATTTATGTTACGTTATATGCATTTAATTTACAATTTATGTTACGTTATATACATTTAAATTACAATTTATGTTATTGTAATTTGAAATATATTTGTTTTCGCACAGACTAACACACTACAGCACTAAACATGTTGGGCAAGTATTTAAACGAAAATTTAGTAAGATTGAACGTGCCGACATTTTATAATGTTAAAATTATCGTAGGAAATGTATTATATATAATGCATATGTCTTTTAATAGGTATATAGGGATATATCAGTATATAGGGTGGAAATAGCGTGGAAATTTCTTATAAGTAATTTTTGTCATGTACTGTAAATAACGTTTTTCAGAACTTTCATAGGGCTGACACACAAAGTCTAATAATGCTGGCAAAATTTTGTAATGCATATGCCACTGCATTAATTAATATAAAGTTATATATTTATGTATAATTTTATTGAATCAATTACGCCGATATAATAACTTAACCGGAACGGCTGAAAAATCATTCGGCAGATTATTTATCAGGTGCTTCAGAAATTATGTAAACAGCTGTAAAAAAATATTTTTTTAAAGTATATTTACTATCCGAGTGGGGTTTTCTAAAAAATTTCTAAAAATTATATGTTTTTTATATATATAATTTTTGAAAAAAATAAAACCCCGGTTGCCAGGTCACTTTCAAAAATTTTATGCTATGAGAACGATTTATTAAGCTTGTATGGCCTAACTATAAAATTAATTAAATTATAAGTGTTTATTGTACTTTGAACACACCCCATATTTGGAATTTTTCTCTAAAAATTCTAACTATCTGAATTTTAATTGTAGAATTTTGACTGTCAGGATTTTTTGTAACCTGCTTGTTTGTCAGGATTTTGAACAGCATCCATTTATACTCTAATATTAAAATTATCTTATTTCAAAGTTTAGCTTTTCTGTATGAAAATTTTGAAAATTATTTTGCAAAATAATGGTGTCATACCTCTTTATTAGTACAGAAAGGCTGAAAACAATAATAATAAATACTTCAAATAGGTTTTAGAATTATATATGAATTGTGCTAATAACTTTTTTTATCATTAACTAGAGGATGCAGATGTGGGCGGCTTTGCCGCCCGGTTGAGGCTGTTATAGTATTATTTCTTAAAAGAAACAATACATAATGGTTAAATGAGATTATATCAGTAGATTTAGATACAATTAAAAAATTTTAAATAAGATTTTTATTGTATATAAACATACATATAAAATATAAATATATAATATATTGTTTTATTCAATATCTATTTTTTTAAGATACTTGGATATGGGATTCGATGGCTTAAAATATAGAGTATGAAGTGTGTTTTAGGTATAAAGTCAGAACTGGTGCTAGTTATTATAAGAATAAATTTTACATTATAGTAATAAAACTTACGTGTTCAAGGAATTTATTTACTAAGAACAGATGCATTCGAGTGGTAGTCTTAAATTAGAACATAGAAATATTTGAATCAAGTATTAAAGTCTTTGTTTACTGCAGTTAAAGTCAGGCAGAAGTTTGTTTGATTGGCTATTGAATTCAATTTAATTTTATGTTATTTATACAGTTTAGAGAATTTTTTTAAAAAATGAAAACTAATAAAAAAAGCAATACAGAAGGTTTTATTAAAGCTGTAGGACTTTATAGCCAAAAATAAAATCCAATTCTTGTCTGTTTGAAAAGTTTGTTTAGTAATAACTTCTCAAAACCTGATAAAATCAACTTATTACTAAGCTAATTTTTTTAAACAGACAAGATTAGATCTTATTTTTAACTATTGAGTTCTACGGCTTTTCTTTACTTTATTATAGCTAGATTTTTTTTTTAAAAAAAGTAAGTCTTATAAGCTGTATAAATAATGTAAAATTAAATGAAATTAAGCAATCAGATGAACTTCTGCCTATGACAGTTAATAAGAAGATTGGGTTCTAAGTCTTTATTAAATATTTGTTTTATTAATAAATTAAAGTATAATTAGTTTGATAGCAATAGTATTTATATTAAATAATGAAGTTAATCATTGAAAATATTGTATAAGTTCTTTGCTTGATTTATGATTCAGTAATAGTAGCTGGCATATTGTTTAATATGTTCAAGCAGCAAAGAGACTAAATTCATATAAGCAAATGAATATCTATGTATGTTAACACATACTCATACATTATATAGATATAAGGCTTTCAATAAAGCTTAGCCAAAATTTAAAAATAACAAAATTAATGGAAAAGATGATTTTAACCAATTACTGAATTTGTTTTGACTTAATTAAATTATTAGTATCATATAACTAATGCTATTAAGTTTATTACAATAATTATTGTGAAGGCTGATACTGAAATTGACTGAAGCTGAAAAATTTTCATAGTTATGATTAAATTGTAGAATTTTTTTAAGGCCTTTATTGTGGTCTTTTTTTCATAGTTAGGTTAGAGTTAGGGTATAGTTATATTAATAAAAAAGTATATATGAATTTTAGTAGGTTTTATAGATTTAAAAAAGACACCAATTTTCAGCATCAGCCACCACAATTATTATTATCAGTCACCCCTCATATTATATTAAGAAAATTATATAATTATGAGGAAGTTGTTTTGATAACCCACATATAGATACAAATGAGTGCTTTCAAGAATGTAAAAACTTATATCAGATAGATTCTAAAATGATTGTCATATAAATTATTTATATGAACAATTGAAAATTTGATATACAATCTAAAAACCAGCAATTTCACCATCCATTTAATCATAATAAGTTAAACTCAAGGTACCCCATTTATAAGTAAAATTTCTTCATTTTGAGTATTTCTAGCAAAAAATCTTTTCTAATCATTTTAAATTGCTTTTTTCAGAATGTTTCATAAGAACAAAAATATGGTGTTTGGTAATTGGCTAAGTTTATTAAGTTGCTACTACATTTAAATTATGATTGATTAATAAATTATTAATCTGTGAGTATTATACTAATATAAAACTTTATATTTATTTAACAGGCTATGCAATATAAAACTTTAACATGATTTATTTTACTTGAATTACAATACATCTACGTATTATATATAAACAAAAAAGAAATTGTCTCTAATATGTAATAATAAATACAATGACGTGATTTAATTATAGTAGTATAGACTATAGAGTAGTAACATGTTAGATGTAATGTGTTTCAGTAAAATTTAATGGTTAAAAAATAGAATAAGTTACTTTAGTATTAAAAATGCTTTGCTTTTGTTAATAATAAATTTTTGTGTATATTTTGCATATCAAAAGAATTTGAATTGATTTGATTGGTTTATAATTATATTTGAATCTTCCAATTAGAGATAGGTTTAGTTACAACTATAGTCAACTATAGTCAACTATTAGTTGTAGTCGATATTTAACCAACCAACAACTTAGCTGACCGGCTAAGTCAATACAAGATTTTTAATGTTTTAACTCATAAAAATGAGAATTAATACTTAATTTGATATGAGACCATATTGGTGAACCTATATCATTAAACAAAAAAACAATTTTAAATCTGGCAAAATGATCTGTAAATTAACCAAAATTGATCAGGTGATGCAGATCTACAAATTATTATAGTGAACAACATTTAGAAGAAATCTGGTCAAACTTTTGAACCTGATAAATATAATCAAACAACTTTGTTAAAAATGTAATTATTGCAAAAATTGTGTTGATTTAGTCAAATAATAGGTTATTTATTAAAATGTTTGCAAAAACTTATTTAATAAGATTTTATCTTGAACTTTTAATACCAACAAATATAAAATTAATATTGAATAATATTTTATACATATATATAAAACCTAATAGATTCTTATACATATATTAATTAATTAAATATATGAATATTCTATCTAAGATTTTGTATGCAATTGTTATAAATATTTTTGATATAACAAAAATTATTTAAATTATAAGTAAGTATTACAAAATCTTTAAATATTAAAGATTTTATCTTGAATACTTATATAATATATACATTTAAAATTAAATTTATATTGATTTAAAATTTATATTAAAATAGAATTTTATTATGCTAAATTTGCTTAGTGCTTTATTAAAATTACAATTGCTATTTAAACTTTGATTTAATTTAAATATTATTTTGACTAACACAAAATAAATCATAATTTTTAAATGAAAATAATTTACAATTATTTATTTATTTATTTATTGAAGCAATTAGTTTAATGATTATTATTATTATTATTATTATTATTATTTTTTTAAATATCAGCAGTCTCGCCTGTATCTTTATTAGATCAAAGCATATACATATATATATTTAACTATCTAAGTTGTAGATCTGACATTCCCTGGCTACCTCTACGGGTGCTCAAGGACGGTCTGCCTCACCGGTTAAGGCTATTGCCTGTACTAGAAGGCTGCACCAAGCTAGCCATTGAAGCTATACCAAA